TTTTCTTTTTTGTGCTGTCCTGTCTGGTTTTGGTATCAGAGTAATGTTGGCCTTGAAGAATGAGTTTGGAAGCTTCTCCTCCTTTTCAACTTTTTGGAAGGGCTTGACAAGGATAAGTATTAAGTCTTCTTTGAACGTTAAGTAGAATTTACCAGGGAAGCCATCTGGTCTTGGACTTTTATTTTTTGGGAGATTTTTGACCACTATTTCAATCTCTTCACTGGTGATTGTTCTGTTTACATTCTCTATTTCTTCTTGATTCAGTTTTGGAATCTTGTATGATTATAATAATTTAGGTATATCTTCTAGATTATCCAATTTGTTGGCATATACTTTTCTGTAGTATTCTTTCCTAATCCTTTGTATTTCTGAGGTATCCATTGTAATTTCTCTTCTTTCGTTTCTGATTTTATATATTTGAGCTTCTCTCTTTTTTTCTTGGTGAGTCTAGCTAAAAGTTTATCAATTTTATTTATCTTTTCAAAGAACCAGCTCTTAGTTTCATTGTTTTTTTTTATTGTTCATTTAGTCTCCATTTCATTTTTTCCACTCTGATATTTATTATTTCTTCCCTTCTACTGAGTTTTGGCTTTGTTATTCATTTTTTTAGTTCCTTTAGGTGCACTGTTAGATTGTTTATTTGATATTTTTCTTTTTTTTTTTTTTTGGAGGTAGGCCTGAATTGCTAAAAACTTCCCTCTTAGTACTGCTTTCACTATATCTGCAAATTTTCACGTCATATTTTCATTTGTCTCCTGGTGTTTTTTTTTCAATTTTTCCTTTGATTTTTTCATTAACCCAATAATTGTTCACCCGTATTTTGTTTAACCTCCACATATTTGTGACTTTTCCTGTTTTCTTCTTGTAGTTGATGCCTAGTTTCCTACCATTGTGGTGAGAAAAGATGCTTGGTATTATGTCAATCTTCTTAAATTTATTGAGACTTTTTTTGTGGCCTAAAATGTGATCTATCCTGGAGAATGTTCTCTGTGCATTTGAAAGGAATATGTTTTCTGCTGGTTTTGGATGGAATGTTCTGTGTATATCTGCTAAGTCCATCTGGTCTAATTTGTCATTTAAGTCCAATGTTTTCTTATTAATCTTTTGTTTGAATGATCTCTCCATTGATGTGAGTGTTAAAGTCCCCTTCTACTATTTTGTTACTACCGATTTCTCTTTTTTTTTTTTTTTTGAGGTAGATTAGCCCTGAGCTAACTGCTGCTGATCCTCCTCTTTTTGCTGAGGAAGACTGGTCCTCAGCTAACATCCATGCCCATGTTCCTCCACTCTATATGCAGGACGCCTACCACAGCATGGCTTGCCACATGGTGCCACGTCCGCACCTGGGACCCGAACCAGCAAACCCCAGGCCACCAAAGTGGAAGGTGCGAACTTAACTGCTGCGCCACCAGGTCGGCCCTAAGATTTCTCTTTTTATGTCTGTCAATAATTGCTTTATATCTTTAGGTGCCCATATGTTTGATGCATAGATATTTACAAGTGTTATATCCTCTTGTTGGATTGTTCCCTTTATCATTACGTAGTGCTGTTCTTTGACTCTTGTTACAGTTTTTGTTTTCAGTCTATTTTGTCTGATATAAGTATTGCTACTTTAGCTTTCTTTTTTGCCATTTCATGGAGTTTCCTTTTACATCCCCTCACTTTCAGTTTGTGAGTATCTTTAGGGCTGAGTGTGACTTTTGTATGCAGTGTATATATGGGTCTTGTTTGTTTATCCATTCAGTCAGTCTTTGTCTTTTGATAGGAGCATTTAGTATGTTGATATTTAAAGTAGCTATTAAGTATTTATTTTTTGCTGTTTTGATACTTTTTTCTGAGTGTTTTAGTAGTTTTTCTCTGTTCCTTTCTTCTTATCTTGCTCTCTTTCCTTGTGGTTTGATGGAATTCTTTAGTATTATGTTTGGGTTCCTTTCTCTTAATTTTCTGTGTATTTATTATAGGTTTCTGGTTTGTGATTATCATGAGGTTCATATATAAGAACATATGTAAATAGCAATCTATACTAAGTTGATGGTCTCTTAAGTTTGACCTGTTTCTGAAAGCTCTACTCTTTTACTCCCCTCCTCTCAATTTTTGTGTTTTTGATATTATACTTAATTTCTTTTTTTGTTGGTGTATCCATTAACCTCTTATTATGGAAATAGACAATTTAATACTCTTGTCTTTTGACCTTCATATTAGCTTCATAGGTGATTGATCTGCTACCTTTACTGTATATTTGCCTTTTCCAGTGATTTTTTTCTTTGGCAATTTTCTTATTCACATTTGTTGTCTTCTATTTTCTGCTTAGATACATCCCTTTAAATTTCTTATAAGGTTGGTTTATTGGTGATAAACTCCTTTAGTTTTTGCTTGTCTGGAAAACTATATGTCCTTCCATTCTCAATTATCACCTTGCCAGGTATGGTATTCTTGGCTTTAGGTCTTGTTCCTTTCAAGACTTTAAAAATATAGTGCCACTCCCTTCTAGCCTATATGTTTCTCCTAAGATGTCAGCTGATTGCCTTATGGGGTTTATTTTTATGTAACTTGCTGAATTTCTCCTGCAGCTTTTAGGGTTCTCTTTTTATCTTTAATTCTTGACATTTTAATTAATGTGTCTTGGTTTGGGCCTTGTTGGGCTCATCTTGTTTGATGCTCCCTGTGCTTCCTGAACCCAGATGTCTGTTTCTTTCATTAGGTTAGGAAAGTTTTTAGCTATTACTTCTTCAAATAGATTCTCTTCCCCTTTGTTTCTCCCTTCTCCTTATGGGACATCTATGGTATGCTTGATGTTTTCCCAGAGGTCCCTCAGACTCTCCTCATTCTTTTTAATTCTTTTTTTCTGTTCAGTTTTTGTGATTTGCCCTAGTCTTTCATCCAGTTGGCTGATCTGTGATTGTATATCATCTACTCTGCTGCTGATTCTCTCTAGTGAATCTTTCATTTACATCATTGTATTCTTCAGTTCTGATTGGTTCTTTTTTTATATTTTCCAATTCTTTGTTGAAGTTCTCACTATGTTCATCTATTTTACTCTCAAGATCACTGAGCATCCTTATGACTATTAGTTTGTACTCTTTATCAGTTGGAGTGTTTATCTCTGTTTTATTAGCTCTTTTCTTTTGCTCAGGATTTGTCTTGTTTCCTTATTTGGAACATATTCCTTTGTCTCCTCATTTTTCCTACTTCTCTGTCTTATATCTATGCATTAGGTAGGTCAACTAGGTCTCCCAATCTTGGAGAAGTGGGCTTATGTAAGAGATGCCTTATGAGTCCCAGTAATGTGCTTCTCTTTAATCAGAAGTTCTAAATTTCTAGGAGTCTCCCCTCTGCAGATCACATGTGTCCTTATGTTATAGTTTCTTGTACTGCAGGTGCACAGGGAGGCTAGGCTGTCCCCTTGGCCCGCTGGTTGTAAGGCTCAGCTGTGTGCAGCTTCTATGGTTCCTTCAATCACTTTATTAGGCATGGGAAGCCCCAGCACAGTTGACTGCAAGGTCCAATGGCACGTTCCTGCTGCAGTTTTTCTAAGTGAGTAAGCCCCCAGTGTTGCTGGTTTCTAGGCTCAGGGGCTCATAATTGCTGTAGGCCTCCAGACTGTTAGGCTGTTGTCAGCTTTCTCAGCAGTGCAGCTAGGTGGTACTGGCCCCAAGTGTGACAGCACACAATTGTTTCATGTTTGGAAGCTGGAACGGATTCCCTATGCAGCTGATTGAGAAGCACAAGTTTTCTGCAGCTGACAAGCCCCACAGCCTGCAGACCCACACACCTTGTCAACACAGTCTTGCCCTGTACACACATCCTACCCTGCTGAAGCAGACACTCACCCCATTGCAGAGGTCGCACACACCCCCACATGTGAGTCCACAAGTATCCAAAGGGCTTCTTTGTGGGTGAGGCCAGTCCTCAAGTTGGGCTGCCTGGCCTAGCTGTGCTAGGTTAAATTGATGTTATGGTGGGTGGAGCAAACCCTGTGCTAACAAGCCAGGCAAAGATCTCCAATGGTGTTTGCCAGTGTCTGTGTCAACATACCTGTACTAAGTTGAAATAATGGCTGGCACCAATGTTTAAGTCCCTGGGGAGGTCATCCCAGCTACCTCTTGCCTCCTTGAGATACACCTAGAGTCTATCAAGTGAGTCTCTTTAACCAAAGGACTGTGCAACTTTCTATCTGGTGATTTTGTATTGCTTTCTGGAATGAATGAATTTGTGCTTGGATCCTTTAAAAGCAGGCTTTATTTTCTCTTATATTTGAGAGCTTTTCTGGGGGTATTTCCCATTGTTTTCAATGGTCAGCAAAGACGGATATTATGACACTCATGAAAGTTTTACTGAGTTCAAAAGTGCTTATTGTGGCAAAAGCCCTCCTACTCAGGTTCCTCAGTCCCCCGGGAAAAGCTTCATCCATTAAGATGGCTCCAGATCATGAAACACTGCTAGAATTGTGGCTAGAATTGGCTTTTTTCTCTCCATAAAGGTATTTCTGCTTCTTCCACCTCAGTAAGCACTGCCCTTTGTTGTGGGGGTTCTTTTTATCCAGTTTCTGGTTCTATCTCCATGGTAATTGTTCCAAGGTAGTTGTAAAATTTTTGTATTTTTTGTGTCCATGGGAGGAGGTGATTTCAGAGTCTTCCTACACCACTATCTTCCCAGCAACCTTACCATTGTATTTAAAAACATCTAGATGAAAAGAGCAATTGCCTGAAGAGATAGTACATGTTGAGATGGTATCCAAAGATAATGAGTATGTCAGGTCCCTTTCAGAAATAAGATACTATTTAGAAACAGACACAGAGAATTTGAGAAATAGAAAACTGGAGCAAACATAAACTTTCCACCAAGACATGGAAAGATGATTTGGGATCATTTACAGAGAAATTTTGCAGGTAGTTGATGAACATGAACACATATGTGATCATCACCAGGAAACCCATACTATTAGATGCTCCTGTTAAACAGACATAGAAAGAGATATCTTAAGCACTCCTTTTTTCAGTTCATAGCTCAATGAAAGTACAAACAAATTGGTCCTTCATGTAAGCCAAAAAACAAAACAAAATGCTACTCCATGGTCTATTTTTTCTACAGCTCATCTTGGAATACAACTGGATCTTGGATGGTTGGGTAAAGGCATTGTCAGCTGTCCTCATTGGTCTTTTACTTACAGGTATGTTGCCAGGGCCCACAGCCCATGTAGTTCCTCTGCACAGATATTTGGCCACCTTGTCCCGCATTTCCTTCATCTTTATACCATAGATGATAGGGTTGAGCATTGAGGGTAGGAGAAGGTAGAGATTGGCAAGGAGAATGTGGGCATGAGGTGGGATATTGTGACCAATACGGTGGGTAAAAGATGAAAAAAGTGCAGGCACATAAGTGACAAGGATGACAAAGAGATGGGCTGAGCAGGCGTTGAGTGCTTTGCAGGTGGCATCTCGAGAGTTGAGGTGCACCACAGCCTGCAGAATGAGACCATAAGAGAAACCAATAAGCAGCATATCAAGTCCCACCACAATCAAAATCACAAAGAGTCCATAGATACGGTTGGGCCTGGTGTGGTCACAGGCCATTTTCACCACAGCCATGTGGTCACAGTAGGTGTGAGGAATGACTACATGGCAGAAAGTCAACCTTTGAAGTAGAAGAGGCATGGGCAGAATAAGAATCACACCCTTGGCTAGAGCTGCTAGTCCCAAGCGTCCAACTAAGGAATGGCTCAGAATTGTGTTGTAATGTAATGGCTCACACACAGCCACGAAGCGGTCAAATGCCATTGCAACAAGTAGAGCTGATCGTACCACAGAAGCTCCATGGATGAAAAACATCTGGGTGAAACAGGCATTGGATGTTATGTCCCGGTGATTGAACCAGAAGAGACAGAGGAGCTTGGGCAACAGAGCCAGAGTGGATATGAGGTCAGCCACCATAAGCAGGGCCAGGAGCAGATACATTGGTGTATGGAGTGTGGGATCTGTTGCCACCAGGAAGAGGATAGCACCATTGCAAATGAGGATAGCCAAAAACATGGAGAAGAAGGAAAGAGATAGCCACAAATGCTGTGACTCTAAGCCTGGTATACCCACCAAAGTGAAGGTTGTGAAGCTGGAATGGTTGAAGATTAGCATAGTAGACACCGTTGGTGGTTGTTAAAGAAAGTTTAAACACCTGCCAATGAGACATGGGTTGTGGATTGTTTTTATTAGTTTGTCTTTTAATGACATGCTGAGCTGGGGCTCAGAGAAAGACAGAATACCTCTTTGGGATCATGGAGTCTGCAAACTGGATTCAGGCCTATCTCTAAGCACTTATATTGTTTTCACACTCATTTCTTTTCAAACCTTAGTCTTCTTTTCTGCATAAGGGATGTTGTAGTGGAACTTTACTCTTTCGTATCCCAGTTCAGCAATTCTACGCTTCCAAAAATTTTTGTGGAGTTCTAAGAATAGGAGAAAATAATTTTATCCTTGATTAAAGGATGGAAGAACTTGATAAGTGAACAATGATCTTCTCATTGTGAAACTTCCTAAATAGAGAGGAAATATGCTCCCTTAACCCTTGCTACAGGAGTGCTGAGCTGTTGGGGAAAATTTCCTTTGAGTTACTTTGCTTTAATGTGTCAACCTTCTTTCAAGAATCCACTGTCTGGAGGCCGATCGGGTGGCACAGTGATTAAGTGCGCACGTTCCGCTTCGGCGGCCCAGGATTCGCTGTTTGGATCCCGTGTACAGACATGTCATTGCTTGGCAAACCATGCAGTGGCAGGTGTCCCACATATATAGTAGAGGAAGATTGGCACGGATGTTAGCTCAGGGCGTCTTCCTCAGCAAAAAGAGGAGGATTGGCCAATGCTAACTCAGGGCTAATCTTACTTTAAAAAAAAAAAAAAAAGAATCCACTGTCTGGTCATAATTCTGTTTCTCCCCGTGATTCTGTTTCTCCCTGTGGGGGTCCTCTGTTTTTTGGACATAATATGAAGGGTATACTGTCCAAATAAAGACACAATTATATTGCTGCACCCCAGTATCTCTAAAGCTAAGCATTTATGCACTTAAAGGACAGTCCTTTGAGGTTTTTATATGACACATGCATCTTTCGCTACAATTGGCCCTCATGTGTGGATTGAATTGCCTTTACACATGGGGCATTTACTTCAAATTAGTCCACCAGGCTACCTAAAAGTTCTCATTTATTCTTCAGTTTCTATCATGAATTATGCAGAATTTCTCTCTCTTTCCAGAGTTCCATAGACACTCCAAGGAGTGTTTAAATCAAGAAGTTGTTCACTAATGCCTGCCTGTATGGTACCTACTTTCTTCCATCTCACACATGTTGTCCATTCCCTCTTTTCTTTTTACTTCATGTACATTGAATTTGTGCTTATAGCCTCTACTCATGGTTCCATATGTTACGAAACTTAACATTATGATCTAAAATGATATTTAGAAATTTATCTGAGTTATTGCAGTCATGAGGATGATTAATGATTTCTATAAGAAACAGGTGTACATATGTCTGCATAATGAAGGAAATCTGTATTAAACTTAGATTTCTAATAGGAAGTTAATCTTTATTAGACTATGTACACATGTATGTGGGAGGAACAGCCCGGACCAATGACACAGGAAGAAGAATCTTGCCTGAATATATAAAGGTAACACTGTCACCAGTGTTTTGTAGAACATACTAGAGGGAACAATTTTCCTTTGGAAAATAGTGATATAGGGTGTACTTAGAAGTAACTTTGCATTGACATCTACACAGACACTGAGAACAGTTAGCTCTTATAGAAGGAAGCAGCATCCCAGGTTGGGTTTATTGAAGAGGATCTGTAGATCACACACAATACACTAAGAGCTTAAGATGAAAACAGAGACATTAATTTACCCATATTGGTAAGAGTTCTTGAGTTATACTAGAAGCCCACTGTAGAGAACACACATGACATTAACAGGTAATATATTCTGAGAACAATGTGAATCGCTGGTTTCATTAATAATGTTACAGGATACCATTTCCACCACACAACCTAGGGAAAATACCTGAATATTTAAATCTCTCCTTTAGAACATAATAATTCAAGAAATACTTGTTTCAGATTATCTGTAGTGTGATTAAAATGAATTCTGTATTAAAATAAACTCTGCACCACACATCAGGATTCTTGGGACTTGCCTGCATGTAGTAGGAACATAAATATTAAATTTGCCTATACTAACTATTTTCTGCATATTCTTTGTGTTTTTTAAAAAAATAAGCATGGCTTATTCCAGTTCTCATTCTCAAATTTGAGATCACTCATTATTGGTTACTACTTGTATTGTTTTTATACATTCCCTAAAGATCATCTTCACTTTTCTTATAGGTGTCTGACCCTAACTGATTATTACAAGTAAAATTCTTGTGATCTGAGATTTCAAGTTTGAAAAGCAGCACCTCTTACAGATTACTCTCTTAATCATACTTAAATCAATTAAAATGTGACACCCATAAAATTAATTCATTTGTTAAGGTTGCTACAAAAGATTACACAGAATTTATGTTGCTAGATTCTTCCACATTCGTAAAGTTGGACTCAGTTTGGGATACGTATTCAAAGAAGAAAATAATTGATAGGGCATTAGCTAGTCTGTATTTATTCTGGAGCTAACAAGACCTAGAGGGAGAATGGGAACAGAAATACAGGTAGAGAGATGGCATGTACCACTTAAAGATATAGAAGAATCATACATCACATTCTTCTCCTCTATCCTCACTCCTGTCATTCTTTTGGGTAAATTAAGTTTATATGCAGATGAGAGGATTTCATACTTCCTTGGATTTCCTATTCCAATGTCCATCACCTTCCCTGCACGCACTCTTATCCTTCCACTCTTCTAACTCTTCACCCTAAAACTGTTTTAATTTCCTCCCAACATCAAGATGTCTGAACTATTGTCCTTCAACCATAACCCTTACTTCTAAATCAGTACTGATTATCATAATATAGACAAAACATTGCACAATTCTATTAATAGAGCCCACAATCAATTTATAGTTTTTTCAGTCTCAATTGAGCTCTCAAATATCAATAATTATTATTTGTTTGTCATTTACTTCAAAAATCATTACTTCCCAGAAGGCCAATAGCTATGATCTCATATTTAATTGACCGGTACTCTCAGGCAACAACATTTCTCATTTGTCATGGAGAAAATAAAGTGCTTAGATTTCTGAAAAGTAATTTCCTGATCTTGAGTCATTGCTAAGAAAGAATGGTAAAATATATTATTTCTTGTCAAGAGTGCTCCTATTCCAGAGCCTTGACTCCAGCATCTGTAGCATATAGTGAAGGCATGCTCTTAATGAGACTGATAGTTCTCCTGAACTAAACACCGTCCATGACAGGAATTAGAGGAGACCCACAGATGTCATTCTGCTTTAGGCAAATCAACGCTAGTCTGGAAACCTACCCACTATCCACCATCAACACACATCTCCTGTCCCTTTTGACACAACAATCTGTCTATAGAATGGTTCCACAAAAGAATTTAAGTTAGATCTGAACATCCATTTCCCCCTCATATATTTTCAGAATAAATCCCATCATAGATCACATCTTTGTTTACTATTGCCATCTTAAGAAAACTTAGCTTTCCTAATCAGTCTTTGTCGCCAGTATTGTTATCACCAAATAGTTATGGAATCTCCTAATTATATTCAACTCCCTAACCACCCATCACTACCAAAATCTTTATGTTGTACTCTTTGGAATTTACAGACTGTTGTAAAAATGACTTCTCTTTGAAAATTCACTTTACTTTCTTCCTCTAGTGGAAATTAGACTATGCTCTGAGCACATTGCATTTTGTACATCCATGTCAAATGGAAGCTTTTTTTATACGTTTCACTACTCGCACACTACAGAGTCTAGAAATGAGGTATGTATTAAATCCTCTTGCTCCTGATTGTACTTTCCAGATTTTTCCTCCTAAAAAACCCAGGGTCCTTTGAAATACATGCTGTCAGATCATTCCACCCTTTTCCACTCCCTGAGCAGTTAGTATGCTTTCAGTCACCTTTCCCCATCAAGTTACATTTCTGCATCTTTCTTACTCCTTTTCCCTCTATTACTACTTCTGTCGTAATTATTGCCTATAATCAATTCATATAGATGATCTGATAAAAAGCTTCATCTTTTGTTTCTTGACCTCATTTCCAAAGGTCTTTTCCTTCATCCCACTCTGCCACTCACAATATCATAAATAATGCACTAGAATAATTGCATCACCTTTAAAATCCTGTTTTAAAACTCTTACAAACTGTAACAATCTCGTTTAAAACTCTTACTCATCGTCTTACATCTAGCTCATTGTTTTCCACTTCATCCTTCCTAGTACCTTCTACTTCAACAAACTTTTGACATCATAAAGATTTCTAATCCATCAATGCTACCACATTTTCTTGTCTATTACCATCTTACCACCTCACCAAGTTAGAAAATATGTTCCATTACTAAAATCATCTTCTTTTGTTTATAGTCCACTTCCTTGTTTCTCTTTCCCTTAATTATACTAATATAGTAAAGATCCAATCCTTGTTATACTCAACTCTATCTTCTTTGCATCTATACCTAAGAAGCTGAACATGGCTTTCAAAAAACACATACTCATTGATTGTAGTTTAACCACAGTCCTTAGGTGAGTTCTCAGCATAGCCAGACAATCATAATCCATTTCTGTTCCCACTCTTATCCTGCTAGATATTTCATTGTCTTTCTTCTTAATCTCCCAACATTCTGAGCTCCCTCCTCAAAATTAGAAGATGATCTTCCCTTTTCATAAGAAAACAGGATAAACCAAAAGATACTTTTCTCTTTTCCTTGCCAGCAAAATAGCATCCAGTGAATAGGTACCCATATACTGTGCCTTCCTCTTAGGACGGATGGCCTGCTTCATTTCTAATTAAAGGTTACCCATCTGCTTCTGAACTGAATCACATTTCCTTTCCCTCATATACAAACTTATTCCTGCACTTATACCACTCCCCCCTGCCTAACTGACTTTCCCTCTTCTAGTGAGACTTCCCAATATTCTCATTTACATCACCACCATTCTAGCCAAGACACATTTTGTTTTCATTTCCACTA